GTCCAAAACAGTCCAGTGGGACTTTTAAGACCAGGTACAAGCTCTCCCTCCTCTGCGAGGACAGATCTGCATGTCCCCCTCCCCAATAGCTAGCAATCCAAAACAGTCCAGTGGAGCCTGAGCGGTGGGTGTTGCCTTCTGACACACTTCCGGTGATGTCAGGGGGTGTGGCATATGCAAATGAGTTATGCTAATGAGCTCCTGCACCTCTTTTTCTACGAAATGACCCCTGACCAGTTGTAATAGCTGGTCTCCATGCCCCACCTGGAGGTTGGCAACCATATTTATGAAGCTGATCTAGTTTGTTGATCGTGCTCTTAAAATCCAGCCAGTTCTGCAATCAGCACTTCTTGCGTTCTTTACATAACATACCCAACCCTCTAACCTGGGTCACTCTCAGATACCACCAAATGCTTGCTGTAAATAAGTGCTCACCTCTACATAAGCCAAAGGAGTCATTACTTGTTTGTATCATTTACTGAGATGAGACAGAGGCATGTCAAAAACTCTTAAATATTAAGTGGTCCTCTTCCTTTCATTCAGCTTTCTGAAGCTTCTGGCAATGCTTCTGGTTCTTGTTCCTGTGAATGGAGCAGATCAGAAATCAAATGCATTAAAAGTATTTATCTCATGTAAACAAAGTCTTTCCATGAGATCACAGGACCAATGTACATGGGGCTGACAAACTATATTTGTTGGGATAGTTGTGAAACCGTATTACATGAGATTTTAAGATCAAACCAGGGTCCTATCCCTTGGACTGTTTAGACCAAGGGTGTCAAACATGCGGCCCGGGGGCCGGATCAGGCCCCCCCGGAGGGCTTCTATCAGGCCCACAGTGGAACTGGCTGTCTTCTGCTTCTTCTTCCAGTTCTGCTGCTGCTGCGTCATCGTAGGTTTGCAGCTTACAGATACACGCCTGAACAGCAGAGTCAAGATTGCAACAGCACAGACATTTTGATGCAATAATTCAGAGCAAGAGGCGTCAGTTATCAGACCCTGTTAAATAAACAAAATATTGCAAGAGTGCTAATGTTTTAAGCATATATTATAAAGTTTAGATCTGTGCTACCTGGCATTACATTTTATGACACACATGGCCCGGCCCAACAAGGTGTCATTTATGTCATATTTGGCCCCCATAACAAATGAGTTTGACACCCCTGATATAGACCAATCTTGTCAGATCTCAGAAGCTAAGCTAAGCAGGGTGGGTACTTGGAAGGGAGACCACCTAGAAAGCCTCGGCAGAGGAAAGCAATGGCCAACCACCTCTGCTTCTCACTTGCCTTGAAAGCCCATTGCTGGGGTCTCCACAGACAGTTGCAACTTGACAGCCCGTACATAAATACTGTATAGTGGTTTTAGGGGTGCAGCGATCCAGAGACAAAAATGGTACATTTAGCCTGTTTACCTTGTTTGTTGTCAAAACCCAGGGCTTTTTTGTAGCAGGAACTCCTTTGCATGTTAGGCCACACCCCTAATGTTGCCAATCCTAATGAGTTCCTGCTGTTGGGTGTTGCCTGTTATGCTAATGGGTTCCTGCTGGGCGTAGCCCACTTGGGAGCCAGCCGGAACTCCGTTCCTGTGCGTTCCTGCCCAAAAATAGCACTGGGGATTATGTATTTGGGGGAATGGAATGTCTGTGGCATTGCCATGGACTCCTATGATCATGTGATTCAGGGATCACTGGGGCAAAAAACCACCCCATGAGGTTTCCCGAAGTTCACCAAGCACAGACACTGAGGAGAGCCACTCCCTCGTCCCAGGCACGTGTAATTTCTACCTGAACTCCTCTTTCATATTCCAGTAGATCTTCCATGTCCTCCACCGCCATCTTATTTAGCTCGGTCAAGATAACATCTAAAGCCTGAAACACACAAAAGAGCCCTCCCGAAATTTAGATGGAAGGGAAAAAAATAAAGGGCAGGAGCTGGTTCAGGGAGAGCAAAAAGCTTTAACATTTCTCTTTAATGCTAGGCCTTTCTGAAGAGAGGTTAAACTGCAAATGCTTCATGCTCTGCAAAAAGAAAAAAAAAGGAAAGGGGGGGGGAATCTGATTTGATGTGAACCACACTGTTGTTTCGGTAACAAAAGGAGAGGCAGCTACTTGAGCCATCCGAGACAAAGCAATACCCCATTCGATTAAAGTCAAACAAATATGCCAGAGCCCGGAGAAATCACCCTGCCAATAGTTCACATTTTAAGACCCATCTTTAAGATGCCTTGCACAAGGAGGAAAATTTAAACTTGCTTATTCTACTGCCATCTACTGCCCGACCAGGCTTACAAACCAGAGCTTTCAGAATAATTTCCCGCTGCAATCTCTTTCTCCTCCCTAATAAAGCAAATCGTATTCAACCGCTGAGTGTCAGAAAGCCGCCCGCTCTCCAGAGTCACCATTCTGAAACAGCACCAGCAAGCTCTTAGGAAATGGCACCTCTTTCCTTCAGGCCGGCTGGAATGTTGATGGTAAAAGGGCTTCATTTGAAATGGCTAAGGGAAAAAAAGTCCTTAAAAGGTCGCTCAAGGATATATAAGGGCAACTACCTTCATTTTCTCCTGCCAACCTAGCAGTTCGAAAGCAAGAAATTGCAAGTAGATAAATAGGTACCACTTCGGTGGGAAGGTAACAGCGTTCCATGCGCCTTGGTGTTTAGTCATGCCGGCCACATGACCACGGAAACGTCTTCGGACAGCGCTGGCTCTTCGGCTTTGAAAAAATTCTACTTTATGAGCTACAGACATTAACGTTGTGAGCGAGTGATTTGGCTACTGCATAAATTAGTCTGTTTTGGAATCATCCTTCCTGAGCTAAGACAAAAATCTGTGAGCCAGAGGCTAAAAAACTGCGAGCAAGCTCACACTAACTCAGCTTAGAGGGAACACTGGTTGTGATGCCAGGAGAGTTCCAGCGACCATCTGGAAGAAGTGGGCAACCCTAGCTACACAGCAGTGACGATATAAGACAGCCAAAACCATCCACATCAAAAAAAATATATGTGAGTCTACTTACCACCTTGGTAAAAGCTTTCAGATGGAAATCTCTCAGGGGAATGTTTTCGAAGGTCGCTCGCTGACACTGCCGAATGCTGAAGAACTGCTGAAGAAGAATATCGAACATCAAACCTGGAAGGCAAAGGTGGGTGAGGGAGATTTAGGTGAGATGTTAGAAAGGAGTGAGGTGACCACAATGCCGATGAGTCACATGTTCTTATCGCCCACTCTCCGCCGAAAGATCAATCAATGCAGCTTTAGGGAAAACCCAGCGTTCGGGGATTGAACGCCTTCTGAGGGAGCCTGCTAATCATATCGAAACTTATTTCGCTTCCCTTCGAATTCTACGCAGTTCTTTTTTTCCACTTCACTTGTTTTGGGTTGTTTCTGAATCTTTGCAAATAGACTCTAGGTGGAGGCTTGGCATACAAAACAGCAGTTCTTTAGTTCTTATATTTCCCTGTGTTTAACTGTGTAGTGGTAGCAGGTCAATGAAGTCTAGTGGGTGAGCTATGTTTCCAAAGAATTGTTAATGGGTGAAATCCATGAAGCAGGGCCCCTGTGCAATCACTATTCGTTTCAATAGGTTTTGCATGAAATACCAAAGTCATAACCTGGGGTCATTTCGTAGAAAAAGAGCTAGGGGGACTCATTAGCATAACTCATTAGCATATGCCACACCCCCTGACATCAGGGGCCCGGCAGTGGACCTGCAAGGCCAGCGGGAGTGCAAGGAAGCCCCGCCAAGGACCTCCCTGGCCCCAGGCAGGCAGGGGTGGGGAGAGGCGGGGAGGAAGCAACTTACCCTCCCTCTTCTCCTGCCTCCTCCTGGCTGAATGAGGGCTGGAAGCAGGGCGGCCGGAAGCAGGAGGCGGGGCTTCGTCATGTGCCCCGCCCCCTGCACCTCACCCGGGGGAACTGTGTTCCCCCGCGATCCCCCCGAAATGACCTCTGGTCATAACGATCTTCTACAAGCTTTTAAAGACACCTCATGGGTACACAGTTGAGAGAGACATCCCCCCCGGCCCCCATCTAGGGATGGGGGGTAGGGTTGCCAGATCCGGGTTGGGAAACTCCTGGAGAT